GGAAAGGCGTATAAAAAATTAATAAATGTGAAGTAAATACTTATCATCACCCTTATGGCAGAAGCATGAATGTGCAAATTTACCAATATTGTGTTATCAGGTTGACTTGATTAACCTTTGGATGTTCTATTTTATACCAAAAGACAGAATACCATGCGTAAATGGAAAGCATATATTTCACAATCAGTTGATTTCCCAAAATCTTAATTTTTACACATACGTGTTTCTAGTATGCGGGGAACGATATGTACTTGCAGATTTGTGTTACAAAAATTATTTAAAAAGCAGACGTTTCGGTTGCTCAGCAAATCGCCTAATCGTTTCTGCAATTATTTCACATTGATTCTCTAAAACAAAGTTTCGATGTATGCTTAAGATTTAAAGGTAAATTTTATAAGAAATCAAACTGACAATTTATTAAAACTAGTAGTAACCCCCGAAATTCAGGTGAATGCAGTAAAGGAATACTTACCAAAATTAAGAAATTAAATTTAAGCTTATAATAAAAGGCGATATTCGTAAATATACTTTAGTATTTAGTTGAAGATTTATTCAAAGAACTTCGTGAAAGAAAACAATTAATCTTGTACTGCTAAAGGCTTGATAACCCAGAAAATTGGCGCCGTTTAAAAGGCATTCAGTATCACACTTTTAATCTAAAGCTTTCTTAACCCTTTCACTATAAAATTCCAAGCACTGATTCTAAAAATTTTAAAATATGTATACCGGCTAATTTTGTATCGTTCATTTCAAAAATCACATCAACAAGTATGTAGAACTTTAGGCTTTGCCGTCATTCAGTGTCTTTATAATGGCCAGTGATATCCTAGGCGTTTAAAAAAGAAAGTGATGTCAACTATTTTTATTTTTTGCTTTCATGAAATATATTTCAAAACTTTGAATAACACTATGCCACAAAAACAAAAAAATTTCAGAACACACGAAAGAATCTATATACTCACGAAACTATGGGCCAAATATAGTAAAACTGCGGTTTTAGTTTTTCACTGTGACGTCAGGATTTTTTTCAAAGGACTAGGAAGTTTTAAAAATATGATTCATTCAAAAAATTATTTTAAACAAGTAAGTCTAATAAGTTCGGGCGGAGCCGAACATTAAATACCCGGCGCAAGTATTAAATATATGTTTTTTCACCTTTCTGAAACCTACCGCTAGATGGTAAGCCGGGGTGTGTCAATTTTGAGTAAATTAGCGTCCTTAAATTTCGAAATATTGCAGTTTCAAGCTTTTCGGAAATTTACCGTTATATGAAAAGCGGCCGTAATTTTAGCCCGATTTCAATAATTTTCAACGTTTTGCTTTTATGTGGCGAGCACAATAAAAATACCGAGTTTGGTACAAATTGGTAGAACGGTTACCGATATCCATATATTTGATCATAAGTGGGCGGTGCCACGCCCATTTTCCAAAATTTTACCATAAACTTATTTCTTGAAAAGAATTGTTGCATGCATCAATTTTGAATAAATTAGCTTTAATATTTACTGATTTATCGAGGATTTTGTATTTCTCTAAATTACCGTTATATGGGATGTGGGCGTGGTTATCATAAGTGGGCGTGGCTACGCCCATTTTCCAAAAATTTATAATATTCTTATTTCTCGTCTGAAAGATATTCTAAATATCAATTTTGAGTGAATTATCTTCAGTAGTTACTAAAATATCGCAGTTTTCGTATTTCTGGAAATTACCGTTATATGGGAAGTGGGCGTGGTTACAGTCTGATTCAATACCAACCTCCCTTGGATTAATGGAAACCTACATACCAAATTTTGTTGCGATATCTCAATTTTTGCTCGAGTTATCGTGTACACGGACGGACGGACAGACAGACATGGCTTAATCGACTTCTCTATTCATTCTGAGCATTTATGTATACACTTGTCTATATCTATCTCTATTCGTTTTGGCTGTTACAAACAACCGTTATGTGAACAAAAAATTTGTGAAAAAAATGTGTGCACAAGTGCGCTCGGGAATAAAAATCAGTGCAATGTAGAATAACAATATGGGTACCAAATGAAACAGAAAATCCTGTTGAATTTAAAAACTATTAAATTCTTGCTGTATATAAAATTGTTTGGTTAAGAAGGACGAATAGGTATTGAAAATGCGCTTTTAATAAATTTTATCTTTTCAAGTCAATAAAGTTTGCAGGACATAACTCGATGATGTGGTCGTATGTACATATATCCTCAGTCCTCAAACAATAATTTTTTCAAAAATAAATATTGCAAATTTTCAAGGATTTTTAAGGACAAAATTTTTAAAGGAGATTTTCTGGTCCTTATGCACCAAAAAGTTTATTCTGTTATAATTCTACAGAATTTTTCTTAAAGTTGATACCTTTATCTTTATATTACATTGCACAGAATATTTTAAAAAAGTTTAGAAATATTCATATTTTTTAATTCCAAAGTCCTTTTAAAAAAATCCAGACGTCAGAGAGAAAAACTAAGTACGTGACTCAAACAAATGACCACGTGTTGATTTTTTTTTGTAAATATAATGTTTTTCGAGCTAATTTCTATACCCGAGCGCACTTGTGCACAAGGGTATTATAACTTTGTTCACATAACGGTTGTTTGTAACAGGCAAAATGAATCGAGATAGATATAGACAAATGTATACATAAATGATCAGAATGAAAAGAGAAATCGATTAAGCGGTAACTGTCTGTCCGTCCGTCCGTCCATCCGTCTGTCTGTCCGACCGTCCGTCTATGCACACGATAACTCGAGTAAAAAATTAGATATCTTAACGAAACTTTGTACGTGCATTTCTTTCGGGTGTAGGACGGATGGTATTGAAAATGGAAAAAATCGGACAATAACCACACCTACCTCCCATATAACGGCAATTTTCAGAAAAACGAAAACTGCGATATTTTAGTAAAAATGGAAAAAATCGGACAATAACCACGCCTACCTCCCATATAACGGTACTTTTCAGAAATACGATATCTTTGATAAATCAGTAAATATTAAAGCTAATTTATCCAAGATTGATGCTTGCAACAATTCTTTACCAAGAAATACGCTTATGATAAAATTTTGGAAAATGGGCGTGGCACCGCCCACTTATGATCACATATATGTGTCTCGGTAACCAATTCTACCGTTCTACCAATTTGTACCAAACTCGGTATGGTTATTTTGCCCGTCACATAAAATCAAACGATTAAAAATGATTGAAATCGGACAAAAATTGAGGCCGATTTTCGTATAGCGGTAAATTTCATAAATGTTTGAAACTTCAATATTTCGAAATTTAAGGACGCTAATTTACTCAAAATTGATACACCTCGCCTGACCATGTAGCGGTAGCTTTCGGAAAGGTGAAAATCATATATCTAATACATGCGCCGGGTATTTAATGTTCTGCTCCGCCTGAACTTAGACTTTCTTACTTGTTTTTGTTATTTTTCTATAAAAATACTGTTCAAGCTTTAACCACATAAATTACAGCTACAAACTTTATACAAAATTTAGGAAAATTCCTCAATTTTTTATCAAAATTTCAACATTTTAATCTGATTCTTTAGACAACTTTTGGGTATGCAATTTTAGTCTAACGAAGTGCAAGTTTCAAATGGCTAGAAAATCCCGTTGATTTCTGAGAATATTTTTTTGGTGACGGATTTTTGCTTTTTTCCATATAAGCATGAATTTCTTATGAAACAAAATACGGGAGACCGTTAGCAACAAAATTTCAAAAAATCAAATACTAGTTTTTGTAGATTACACTTGTTATATAAAAACAATTATAATAATTTATTTGAAGGGAAAAAATCGCAAAAAATCGGCAATGGCTATTTCCTAAATTTTTCCCTCAAATATCCAAACAAAAATCGCCAAATTAGCGCGAAATCGCCAAATCTGGGCACTCTGCTTTTCATAAACATCTCAGCTTTCGTTCCAACAAAAATGTCAAATATTTTAACATTATTATTTTCATTTTTAAAATCAACATTAATATGTTACTGATCGCATATTTTTTAATAAAGTTGCTCAAAATTATGAGATAATGTGCTTTGATAGTAGCATATAAGTATGGCAAACGAGAGCTTTCAGCTTGGAAGTCTTTGTTAAGATTGTTAATTATGGGGAAAATATACGATAGAAATAAAAAATAGTATTTGGTTTTGCAACACATTCCTTCTGCCAGGGCTGCAGATCGCATACCGTTTACTTCATAAAAGCAGGAAATAAAATGAAGTTTCAAACTATCCCATTGCTTAACTATTCTTAACACAACGCTTCCTAGTGAAAGACATCTTGTTTGAGGTATGCCCAAGATTTTGTGGGGTTTTACCCAACAGTAGTCCTGTAATTCCATCAGTTCATGTATCCTCTTTGGACTGTGGGAAAAGAGACTATATTTGTTGCGGCAGAGTATCTCAATGCTTTTCGGCAATTTTTACAAGCGTAGGTGGAGCAAAGGGGAAGTTAGTGGCATGTGCGCTTTATATACAACAAGAGGGCCCATGCGCGGTCTGCGCAGACAGAAATATACAGTAAACTCATTCCTCTTTGTAGCCACAGATAGAAGCAGACTGTTTTAATAGTTCGCGGAAATAATTATTCTTATAAACCCCTTTATTTTTATTATACATATATTACAAAGCATTAATGAGATTTATAGTACATCAGAACTTATACTTATTAGGTACATACATAAAAACATATTACAAACTGACTGATATTTGAGTGTCATGAGTTGAGGGAAACATGGTGCCACTTACAATATATCTTTGTAATAAAATATATTCAGAATTAACTTTTTGATTAAATGTTTCTTTAACAGAAACAATAATATCTGAGAATCGTCTTACTCTAGTTTAAAACAAAATTGTCCTCTACCCGGTATATTGACAAAGTTCACCTGCACTGAAGCAAACGCAAGAGCGTTGTTAAATTTACGGATATTCTCTAAATAGTTTTTTGTGATGTCATCATTGCGCTCAATAAGCTCTTTCGGCTCATCGCGGACAGAAATTGGTGGTAAACTCACCTAGCTCTTGTGACAACAGATGGATGCAGTATTATCAGCTGCCTCGCCTGGAGAAAGTTTAGCTGAGCAAAACTCAAATATCTTCTCCATGCGTTCAACACTATTTGATTCTATCTCATCGTCTTTAAGGAAAAGACGTGCACCGCAATACGTCTTTGGTAGCTTTTCTTGCCGCCTCCTTGCACTGGCATCTTCACTTAATTGCTGAAAATATGATGGCACCAAAACACTACTAAATTGCAAATAGATCTGCCGTTGTTGCATATCTTGGTTTATTGGAAGGCAATTACGTTTTTTGCGATCAGCTGACACTCCTATACACCTTTTTCGAGGCATTGTTAAGCGTAATTATATTAAATTGAATCCTATAGTAGTAAAAATGGTTATTACGATCAACAAAATAACTTTTTGAAATTATAAAGTTGCCGATTTTATGTAGACTTCATGAGATAAACGCAATATGTCAGTATATCTAATGGAAAAATTTTTCTGTAAATGAAATCTTGAATTGAAAATCACCAAAAATACCATAATACCAAACACCAATATGCTTACCATACCAATAATACTCGTAATAAATGTATTGCTTAGCTGTTATGATAAAAGGAATATCCGAATATTTTTCCGACAGGGTAGCCAGAAACAATATGGGCTGCAAATAAGATTGTGATGCGAAATTTACAAAAAATACCTTAATACCAATACACATATGAATGTACTTACCGTATCTACAATTTACGCGATAAATATATTTCTCAGCTTTTATCATAAGAGGTATAAGTGAATATTTTTAACTGACAGCGCAGACTGCTACAATTTTTATTATTGAAATTCCTATTATTTGGATTACAGTTATGTTTAAGCTTGAAGTCACAATAGCACAGTACTTTGGAGTTAAGTGTTATTATGGTGATGCCACAGATGGCGCGCTTTAACAGCTTCGTTCATGTACGAATTGTGTGGTTTATATTGCAGAATTGAACAAAAATTCGTGAATGATTTCATGAAATCATGAAAACTAAAAAGAAAGCGGCATAAATATTTAGTAGCTGTCAATACTAATCAAAAGTTTTGAAAAAAATGCTATTTGTAACTTTTAATTTCTATAGTTAAATATTTAAGTATTTTCTGATATTATTTTAGGCATAATAATCTATTGGGGAAAAATAGTGTATTTAAAATTTTTTATAAAGAAATAATGTTTTCTTGATGTTGTATATAGTAGTAAAGATATATACTCGTATATAAATATATATAACAACTGAGGAATACTAAAAGCATTTTATGTTAAAGATTTAAATATTGAATGCCATCTTAAGTGCACGATGACTCACACGTGAAAGATTTTGTTAGTTGTGACGACTTTATATAATTTTCACCAGTTTATAGTTAGGGTATGCGTAGTAGCGCGTAAAGCGCGGTTTCAAAATCGAATCCCAATACGATCACAATATGGTTTTCGGGTTTTATATTTGAATTCATGTAAGCATATTCACTACATTTAGAATGAAAAAAATTAAATTTGATGTAAGTTACTTGGAAAAAATTGTATTTATTTATTACTTCAATAGTAAATATTTTACTGTAAAAAATTAATAATAGATTACCTACTTATTAACTGATAGGCCTTTTAAAAGATCGTAATTGTATAA